TTATAAACAAGTAGTGAACTACTTCGTCCGAAGGATTATATGTATCTTTTTCTAAACATCATTCTCTCGGTTTCCATTTGTGTCCATTTTTTAAATCATGTCCAGTTCTCACTTTTGCCATAAATCCTCAATAAACCCAGTCACAATTTTCTGGTTTGTGAAACCTTGCCCCTGAATTATCCGTTGTTCGAATTACACGTTCATTTGGACTATGCTTCGTTTAGTCAGTTATGCTCGTGATTACAAGTAGCCTCAGATGAATAATCACTATCTTTGTGCATGCTAGAGAAGACACTTTCGATGTTTTTATAAAGGGGGATCAAAACTTGTTTTATTCCTGAAGACACTGGGCTGTAATGCCTAATACGATATCAAGCCCATATGGGTTATTCTGGCTTCCGGACATACCAATATATCCATTCTTCTTGAGTCATATTTTAACCCTCTTAATTATTCGCCAGTCAACCTTGACCGTTTTCATGTGAGCATATGTGTATGTACCTCTTATCCTACTCATGATGTCTCTGTAATTTGTTTGACTATAAATAATGAATCACGCTTGATTAAATCGAGTTGGCTCATATGCCTTCCTTGATTCATTTCGCTGTGCTCTGTCCTTTTTGCTCATTTTGCTGCGTTTCCCTGATTGTCTGTTTAGATCACCGCGCTCGTTTCAAAAAGGGCAGTGATTTTTGTACTTGTTGTGATTAAACTTGCTTTGAGTACTTATTGCACTAAAAAGCATTCTCGGTCTACTTTAACTAAAAGTACTTTGGTTAAAGTTTGAAATTTTTTGCTAAATTCTGTCCTGAGTACCTTTTTTTACTCCTTGACTAACACTTGTGTTCATATTGTGATCATTTTGTGTTTTTGAACCTTTTAAATCGAATTACAATGGTTGGTAAGACTCACAAACGTGGGCAACCAAATTGTTTGTTCCCCGTTGAGGAGGGAATGCAGTGTGACGATTATAAAAAGTGGTACCACAAAATATGTACACGCTTAAGTCCGACGGCTTACAAAAGATGCTCGAAGCCTAACTCGGATTGGCTTTGTATGTTCTGCTGTACGGATAAAAAGGTACTAATTCAGGAAGCTATGGGCCTATTGGCTTTGGCCTGCAAGAAAAACGATGGTGGAAGCACTGATAACAAGAGCACTGACGGTGAAGAATGTGTCAGTGTAGTAAGTGCTGCTACTGAACTCGTTAAACACCTGACTGTGGTTGACGGGAACGTGAAGTCTCCGTTAACATTAACGAGGAATGAAGTGTCGCTTGATATTGACATCGGCAGTCATACACCTCTAGTCGAAATAGAAGATTCGGATAAAACTGTCACCGTTCCACGTAGTTCAGGTGTGGCTGTCCTGAGTGGTGACAAATGGAATTCAGTAAGGAGAAAAAGAAATGGGAAGAAAAAGGCTGTGGGCAAAACGCAGCTGGTCAGCAAGGCATTGGAAGGGATTTTATCGGAAGAAGAATCCTCACTGCGTGACAAGACAGATCTCTCTGAGAGATCAGTCATTTTTCATAAGATAAGATAATCTTCAGATACAGAACCAAAGGCAAGAGTTGAACACGATCTCAATCATATTAAGACATCATTAAGTAAACTACTCCCATATACAGTTTCGGGAGTTAGTATTTGTAAGTTTTATAGAATACGAAAAAAGGTGGATTCCGGAAGTCCTCAGAAAAACCGCCTCCTAAAGGTTATACTCAACATGGTGGAAGAAAGGAACCTGATTCTAAGTAATTCACGTAAACTGGTTGGATTCAGAATATACGTCCATGAGGATCTCAGCCAAGCTGATCGTATTAAGAGACGAGCTTCAGAAGTGTAAATAAATGAGCGTCGCCGAAACGGGGAAAGAAACCTCGTTCTTAAGGGTTTTCAAATTGTAAAAGTTCGGAGCAAAACGATCCCCAAGCCACTCTGGGTGGCAAGGGAAAGTTCTCCACAGACTTAAAGGTATGCTACACAAATGCTCGCAGCCTTCTAAATAAAATGGTGGAGCTCAAGTCAGTGGTCGATAAAGAAAAACCGGACGTTATCGCTGTCTCGGAAACTTGGTTAACGTCAGAAGTATTAGATAGTGAAATGCAGTTGAGTGGTTTTTTAACCAGTAGGGCTGATAGATTAAACCGAAGAGGAGGCGGGGTTATTCTGTACACGAAAAGTACCCTAACCATAAGATTAGCTGAAACAGTAGCACATGCTTAAGGGACATGTGAACTGGTGAGATGTAAGTTGAAATGCCGACGGCAAGATATTGAAGTAGTTGTAGTTTATCGCAGTCCAGAATGTGTAGCAGATGATTTTCGCCTAAGTAAACTTAAGTCCTGGTGTAACAACGGTAAAAGTCTTGTAGTAGGCGACTTTAATGCACCATATATAAACTGGGTTAACTTAGAAGTAGGGTCAACGATATCGTCGTTCGACTGCAGACTGTTAGAAACCTCGGTTGGACTAGCATTATTCCAACACATTAGAGATCTCACAAGATACGATTTAAGAAACTCTTCTTCTGTTCTAGATTTAGTCTTCACACACGGTGATGACGTTGGTCAAATGGCTTTTCTCCCACCACTTGGGAGAAGTGACCATGCAGTCATCTTTTTCAAGTTCATGGTTGAGACTGCCTGTTAAACAGTTGCGCCGGCCCGTCCTAATATATGAAAGACAGATATGCAGGCAATCAACTCCACAGCATCGGCTGAAAACTGGGAACTTGAATCAAGGGCATCAGTACAAGAGGCATGGACTCTATCCAGACAGTTATACAATCAGGTAACTCAACCATACATACCCTGGACTGTCCCAAAGAAAAGTAGCACGGACACCCCTGGATAGGGCGGGATATTCGACGTTTACTAAGACAAAAGGATAAATGCTGGGATGTTGCCATCCGCTTTGGCACAGCAGGTACGATGGAAAGCTACAGATCGATAAGAAACGAGTGTATAACGAAAATTCGGGAAGCTCAGAGAAAATATGAAATGCAGCTGGCACAATCTGCACTCAAGCAGCCCAAGAGAATATTCTCGTACATAAACTACAGAACAAGGACGCATCATTGGATTCCCAACCTAATTAAAGTAGGAAGTGAATCTGAAATGATAGAGGAAGATCAGGAGAAAGCAGAGGCTTTGGCTGACTATTTTGGGGCAAAGAACCAGACCTAATTACAGAGTCAACAAACCAGCTGCTCACCGTGGACTTCGACCAAAACGATGTGCTTAAGGCTCTTAGCACCTTAAACATGGAAAAGTCAACAGGACCAGATGAAATACACCCCAAAACCTTGAGACATATTGCACAATATATCGCGGCCCCACTGACTGTGATATTCAATATGTCACTTGGCCAAGGTGTGTTATCTATGGACTGGAAGGACTCAATCGTCACTCCCATACATAAAACAGGTCCACGACAAGTTCCATCGAATTACAGACCCGTAAGCCTCACCTGTGTGGTAAATAAAATACTGGAAAGAATAATCAAACGGACCATAACGGGATTTATGAAAACCAATAACTTGTTAAACATGGCACAACATGGTTTTAGAAAGGGTCTATCCTGTACAACGAACCTCCTTATAGCTAGGGAGTTCTGGATTAATGCGCTAGACAACGGAAACTCAGTGGATGTTGTCTACATAGACTTCAGTAAGGCTTTTGACAAGGTGCCAACTAATAGACTGCTATTGAGGTTGGAACACCTTGGTATTTCCGGACCTCTTTTAAAATGGATTAAAGATTTCCTAGTAGGTCGTAGACAAAAAGTAAGAATAAATTCCAAATGCTCCATCTGGAGACCAGCACTTAGTGGAGTACCCCAAGGTTCCGTCCTAGGTCCTTTACTTTTTATAATGTACGTTAATGATCTTACAAGTATAGTACAGTCTCCAATGTTATTATACGCTGACGATGTAAAAATCTGGCGTGTAATAACTGGAGCCGCAGATGCATGTGCCCTTCAGGTAGATTTAAATAATATGATAAACTGGTCTAAAGAGTGGCTGATGCCTGTCAACGCGGGAAGGTGTGTCTATATGCACTCTGGGGATTCAAAGATTAATAGGTACAACACAGGGGAAGTGCCATTTCTCGTAGTCCGGTCTCATAAGGATCTAGGGGTGACTGAGTCATGATCTTAAGACGACAGCCTTATGCCGGGAGGTCGCAGCTAAGGGGTTTCGAACCCCCTGGGCTTAAAAACGGACATTCACCAAGTTAGATACTACCATATTCACCACAGTATACACATCCCTGGTGAGAAATAAGCTTGAGAACTGCGTCCAGGCTGCAAGCTCCTGGTTAAAAGGTGACTCGGATATCCTAGAGGGAAGCTACCTGTGCAATCCCAGGACTTCGGGGTTTATCATACAAAGAGCAGTTTGAAAGCTGGACCTCTTTACTCTGTCCTATCGCAGATTAAGGGGGATCTAATTTTGATGTACAGAATACTGAGAAATGATTTCCGACCTAGCTTACTCTCTCTTTTTCTTCCCGCTAGATTGGGACATCTCAGAGGACATAGCAGGCGATTAGAAAAGCCAGGAACGAACAAAATACCTGTGGCATACAGGATTTTACACCTCTTCATCAATACTTGGAACCTGCTGCCCGAAGCAGTGGTGTCCGCACCTTCAATTGACTCTTTCAAGAGAAGACTGGACACTCACAGAAGCATACTAGAAAAGGAAGAACATAGGCAGTAGGCCTTCTGTCCTTACTACATAAATCTGAAATCTGAATCTGATGTATATATATATATTCGAAATCCATTCTCGTGGTTGAGTCATTGGATCCCGTTATTCACTAACACGATTTAAGTTAGTGATTATTTACGAGGAAAGCCTGGATGTATATTTCGTCAACAATCAGCATGCAATGTAGATGGAGTCAGATATAGGGTCACTAAAAGACATAATTTTTTGATCATCTTTTCTCTCAAAAGGTATTTTACTGTCTGAGTAACAGGTTTTTCTTTTAGGTTTCGAGTGGCTGTAATAAAAGTTATTCCTTTCAGTAGTTAAACAATTTATCTTCGTTTGTTTTAGTTGATCTTAAATGTGGTGAAAGGTTCGAATCTTCCAAAATGGGTTCTGAGGATAATGTCAAGAACTTTGAGAAGATTGCAGTAGACCCAGTATGTTTTGCAAATATCCATCATAATAACTATATTCGAAATATGGTCTGCTTTGTGTTTAAAAACTATTATTAGTGGCCCAGTACTTTAATTTTTTAATTTCGGTATCTACACAGAGGCCCGTCCCTTATTTATCTTCGTCAACTTAAAGAGAATCGTTCATAATAAAGACTGACGCTTCATCTAAGTTATCCCAAGTTTTGGAAGATGACAAACCTGCTGTCTTTGCACTTAAGAAAAATTACTTGTAATATAACTCGTTTTCTTATCGGTTGACTTCCATCACATGTATTACTTAAATTTTCATGTCCTGAATCATTTCTCACGAGCGACCCGATTGTAACGAAAAGTGTGGCCTGACGCATTGTGTTAAGCTTTCTACCTAGAGTGTTTGGTTGCTCTCTGGTCGTCGATATTAGTCTACTTAAATAGGACCTGTCGGAAAAGGTGTTGTTTGCAACCCGTGCTTTCCTATTTCTACATATTAAGAAGCTTCTCTTATTTGAGACTAAGGAAGTCCTGTGTTCTGCAAACCAGGATTAACATACAATATCAGTTCCTGAGTGCTGAAGATGAGCAATACAAAATATGTAGGGTAAACTCAGAAAAGAACTGAGTTCCGTTCACAGATTCTGGTCTTCATGTACGGTTCAGGCATGGTTCTTCTTGACAAAGTACCCGCCTCCCAACCAAGAGGCGAGTTTACCGCACAGCTGTTTGCTCCCTTCTACTTTAGGGGTATGAGACCTGGCTATTAAGAAGAGGATATTCCTAGGCTACTAGTTTATAAGAAGTACTGTTCTTGTATTTTGAGACCACGGAATAAACAATGCCTCTATAAGGAATGAAGTGCTAAGTAAAGATGGTAAATTTGTTAATACAGGACATGTTACGTATACCCGTCGACCGCTCACCTTCACTGACGATGTTTTCAGGTGTAGGCTGGAAGAAATATAAAAGCGGCTAAACCAAAACACGGCATCACTCCGTGAAGTCAGTGACAATTGGACTTATCCATGTTAATTGGTATAGACTACCTGGTTGGGTCCGCGTGGTTGTCGTCACCAGTGATTAGGTACTTGGAATGGGATGGCTTAAAGTCACTTGTTAACGTCGTAGGTCCATCCTTTCTTTGTCTTCTTCCAAATTCTGAGATTCTAAGTCCCTCATGACATTTTTAGTTTTTATTTCACTAGATTATTTTCTCTCTAACTATGTGTTCTATGCTTAGACTATCCCATTACCACATACTGTTACTACCTCTACTATTCTGGGAATTGACCCAACAACCGTTTCTGTGCTAATGGGGTATGGCAACTTTGACCGACGTAAATACTAATCAGGTTCTATGTTGTGACTGACCGTCAAATTTAGCATATTAATATTAGGTCATCAATCAACTGCAGTCGGGATGATTACGTATGACTAGATTAACAGAGTTTAGATTTACCCTAAACTTCATAAGAAATATTAAACTGAGGAAATGTAATGACAGCGTTAAATAAATTTCATTAACAGGACAATATGCATGAGCTGTATATAGTAGTATAAGTACTGATGTTTAATTCTCCATTTTTCGGACGTTAGCTTTCAATTATTTGTCTTTAATTTTCTTGTCTAGTTCGTTATATAATGCTGATGCTATTATTTGCTTACTTATTTGAATACAACATTTGTACGAGGTGGCACCAAATACATATGCGCCACACAATTACAGTGAGGCCAGTAGCGGTTGTCACTGATTTGTGTGAGGGCTGTGATACTGTCCGGGTGCAAAAACCAAAGCAGGTGGTTTTCTTAGGGGGACATACCCCATTGCACCGATTAAGTCATGTGTAATGTCCTTGAATTGTCGACTTTGTCTAGTGTTAGAACCATTCCTAGAATTAATAGACATACGTACTTTCCAAATATTTCATATTGCGTAATTAAACTTGTGGACAAGCACTTCGCGAATACAAAACAATGGATGTTTTACACCAAAGAGTCGTTCTTGGATTTACTCTGCTTCTGGGACAAAGTTGTAAATAGTGATTACACAGTTATCACCGTCCGATTTTTCGTTGAACTTTCTTCAAAAGGTTCTTTGATATGTTTATGGTTTTTATCAGTAATAGCACCCTTGATTTTTCTTGAATTTAGCTGGAACCTCTTGTTCTTCGTCCACCTGTTGGGTCGGAAGTTTATGGATCACCTCCATCAAGACGTACTAGTCGTAGCCGTCCTTTCATATTGGGTTCATTATTCGTCTTGTTCACATTGTTAATGATTGCTAGTGTATTTCTGCTGCTATACATCCTTGGTTATAGACCGTTAACTTCACTTAATCATAAAGCAAACGCACACAGATCAATTTGTCGCATTCGTATTCCATTTTTAAAAATAGATCCTGTAGAATCTATTACGACAGATGATAATTTCCTCAATGTTACACTATCTGAAGTACCTTACTACAATGTGATTCGTATTTTGCATCTGTTCTCTGAGGGCTTGACAGTGATTAGAACAAATAAGCATTGCTACATTAGACCGTTGAGAGCTGAATTAAGAGGATCTGGAATTGAAGATTATCTGCGTCGACTAAATGTAAGTTTCTTCTAATTTTTTGAAGTTGAAACCATTTTGTTTGTACCTTTTCTATCGACCCAACTACTGTTTAACATTGCTACTCATCCGCTTAGACTACGGTAGACGAATTACATTTCAGGCCCTGACGAGCCAATACTTATGCTACTTACCCATCCAACTTCCTATCTGTTTATGTAAGAGTATAAGTTCAACATTCGCCAAAATATAACAACAAGACTTCGAAACAATCATAATATACTGGAACTAATAAATTTCCTCGGTATGACCTATAATACATTACAGACTACGGTGGAATATAGCGTTTAAAAACTTCAAATGTTTATTTTTACGTTACGAAATTCTGAAATTCAACTTAGGTAAAGGCTGACGTCCAGTTTGATACGTTAGTGCGCTAAGCTAGTAATTCGCTACTCCGACCAGTACTATGGACAAAACTATTTCGATTCTCTTCTTTTGCCTGCTCCCATTAACTCGAGTACAAACACCAGTTTGGTAGATCAAGCTTATTGGTGTTTGTCACCATAATTAATCTAAGTACATTAAGCTTATCGACTGTATATCAATAAAAATGATTGAGGGAGATTGATTATGAATACAGTGGTCTTGATGGCGGTTACCACTTCACTGCTACCCACACCGTGGAAGGGTTCTTCTAAAGGTACTTGAAAAGGAAATAGGATTAAAGGTGGTCTTAGTGACCGCAGTGCCCAAGAGACATCTGCTTGAGGTCGGTCACACACAACCTTTTTATGAGTAGTTTTTGTGTTAGCTCCGTCCTTGTTGAGACCTTACTGCCGGAGACGGATATCCGTGGGATAAGGCGAGTTGTGCATTTTAGGGTCGACATATTCTAACCCCACCCCTCCTTGTGGGAAGGCAGCATCGCTGTCATGCTGGTTGTCTGAAGGAAACACCTTACTGCTGTCACACCTCTGTACAGTCAGCAGTACGACTTCGCCTTCAGACCTTGGGTTGTTGCTCTTCAACCGACCTGTCTGACATGGTAGGACCTTGAGGAACAGTTGTTCCAGCCAGTATATCCCTATTGGTTTATCGCAATAGGCAAGCCCGACCACCAAGTCAAGGTAGCAACACGGGATAAAAAATGGTTTGAATATTTAGACTGAGTATTTGTCATCAACAAAAGTCATCGTAAAAATAAATTGGGATTTCATGAAGTGTTCGCACTGAATTGTTTACTGTAACAGAATTTCGACCTATTCCATTTAGATTTCTTGTCAGTTGTCATTTGAGGTTGCTCATCCCTAATTCAGTTATTAGAGAAAAAAACATTCAAACCTATACGACTACGGTTCTATGTAAATACTAGAATTGTTTATTTATGAAAAATAAGTCAATGATCGTACATTCTCTAAAACAGTTCCACAGATCTCCAATAAATTATTAGAAACATGGAGAATAATTTACTGTCTCATTACACAGTAGGGACGGAATGTAGGCCTAAACTCGAAACAGACTACTACAACAATCAATCGGTTATTCGTTACGACATATCTTCCGTTACTTCAAAGTATAGTTATCAAGACAGAAAAATCACCCCTGTCTTTGAAGGTTTTTGAAGCTTGCAGGTCGTCGGGTATTATTTGTTATCGAGTATTATTATTATTATTATTATTATTATTATCGTTATCATTTTTTATCATTATTTATCATCTAGCCTCTAACCAGAATGGTTACTCTTGTCTAAGTTACTGTTTTACGCAAGATAATAATGTAGCAAGAGGAAGTAACCAATTGTTTAACTTATTTTATTGTTGTTGTTGCCTTGTTGATCATGATCCCAGTAGAATCGAAAATTCACTTACATTAATCTGTTACATATTGGTTACATTGATTCGGATTTACAAATTGATTAGTTGTCACTTGACATATCTTAGTAAAAATAAATTGATAGTTCACAAAGTATTGCAACGAGATGCGTTGTAAGTTGACCTCATATCTGTCTTAATTCGGTATTGATTTCATTTCTCGTAAGTTGTATTTGAGGATTTCACACCCCCAACAATTGCAGAGAATCTTAAACACTACTGGTAGGTGTAGACCACCTGGTTGGGATCCGCGAGACGATAGCAACCGATGGTTAGAGACCTTGAATGACATGGTTCAAAATCGTTTGCAATAGCGCAGGTGCATCCACTCATTGTGCTCTCCCAAATTCTTCTGAATTCTTCACGTCCTTTATTTTCTTTCTAAATTTATTTCACTGGATTATACTCCTTGAATAGCACCTTCAAACCCTAATGTTTCCGATTACTGATTATACTTTGACTACCTCTACCACAATGGGATTTGAATCGACAATTGTATCTGTGTGCTAATGTGGTATGGCAACTGGAACTGATGTACGTACGTACGAAGTTCCACGTTGTTACTGACTGACTGACTGGGTAACTCATCAAGATTGATAACACCAAATGATGTTCGTTAGGGCTATCCACTTTACTTATTTTTATTTAGCTTTGTCATGGACATTGTCCACCGAGTTAGTAGTCCTGAGGTTAGTTAGACGCAAGGATGACAAATCAGTTGATAATGTTGCAAATCATTATCCACCAAGGTGGTTGGAATGTGTGTTAAGTTATGCCCAACAGCCGTATACCTCGATGTGGGATATAGGATGGTGTAGAAGTAGATTAGAAAAAGGCTAGAGTTGTCCAAGATATACACGGTGTAAGCCCGTGAGACCATCGAAGTTGAATTGAGCTATGTAGATAGGTATAGCCTACACAGTTGGTGTACACACGATTATCTTCAATTGCTAGAAAATTTGGATGACGTGGCTCAGAGTTTGTCACAATGCATTCATTCACTCCTTACCTTTTCTTAGGTCCTAAGTTTCGGAGTTTTTTCATGCTCTTTTATTTCGTGAATTCATATCTCTCTTGAATGATATGGTCTACATTTAATATTTTTCACCACTGATATTATTACTACTTCTATTCTAGCACCTCACTGTACCGATGTGGTATAGCAAATTGAACAGATGCTAAAATATGCCAGGTCCAACGCCGGACGTGACTTAATAAATCAAAATACATACAGGTATAAATTTAATGTGCAGATCAATAATAAAAGCTCCAAACAACTTCGAAATTATAAATGGGAAGATTAAAGCAACGAGTTACAATGTATATGCATCCAATAGTAGGACAGCTGCTAATAAAAGGTTGATAATCGTTAAAGCTAATTTCTCTTAAAAGTTTGTAATTATAATGCCCGGAACTGATTTAAATCAAGCTACCATGTAGTATAATTATTACACAATGAAGAGTTCTGCCTACTTTATTGGTCATTTGTTTTCAAAGAAAAAACCACCACCCAGTGTTAACAGACGATATAACACAACAGTGTTTTTCCTGAGTTACACATGGTTGGTAATTACGATATTCTTTACTAATTTGAGAAAGGATGACAGATATTATTCGTTATAAGTTACTCTCTCTGTTTTTAATGTGTCTCATCTCGCTTAGCTAACAGCAGTTTGATTGAATATCAGTAATAAAATGTGTGATTTTAATCCAGTTTATCATTATACATAACACCTATCTTCTCTCAACTTCAAATTTGTGAAATTAGGATGGAAATGACTTAAAGGATTCGGTGGAAGGTTATCCTGTTACAGAGCCTTGGTATATAGATAGAGATCCATATAATACTATTCATAATTCATTGATTATGTCATGGTGTGCTGGTGTACCAGCCTTTCGTCTAGTCTCAACAAGACCTCCAATAAGTGAATATAAAGGAGATATAATGCCTGCTGTAAGTTTTTTTCTCAATTAAAAATGTTCGTTGTATGTAGATTATTATTATTAATTATTATTATCTGAGACCATTCTATGCAAATGCGAAGTTTTGAGTTAGCTAGGAAGGAAAGAAAACAAAGAATTATGTGTCGTACATATTTTTGAATCCACCTACTGTTCATATGAAACACGGAAAGCTCGGATATGGTAATGACTTTTGCATTCTGATTTTTAGTAATATAGAGGGATGTTTTAGATTGTGGTGGTCGGTATGCGATATATCCCTTAAACTTCGTATACAATTCGTCTTGATAACCGTCCTATTTAACCCCAACGGTATATTATTCAGAAGGCGAATACGAAGCGTTGATTACGTTTATTTCGAGACCACACACACAGATGTTCAAAATTACAGATGCATTAAACGAGCATTAAGAGTTGTGTCGAACGGCAAACAGGCAAGCGAGCGACTGAGCGAATGCAAGTAATCGAGTACAATCAAGCGAGCAAGAAAGCCGAGTCAGCCATATGAATAACATGGACATATATATAGCATGTGAAATCAATGAGTAATCGAATCAAATAAGCGGTTAGTAGTGAGACTAGCAGAGTGAACAAATGCGTAGGCCGTAAGCAATATTCAAGGTTGCGTATTTCATACAAGCACAGAATAATAATAAGGGTACAATAAATTGTTATAGTGCGGATGTCTTTGTCCGCTAAATAAGTTAGCAAAAAGGGCTTAACTGAGTTAAATGAGAATAAACCCATTTGCACGTGAGTCGCTATAAGATCATTTACACGTTTACAGCTCTTAATCCCACCTAAAAATTTGTAACTCAAAAACGAATTCCTATACAAGAAAAAATAGACACATGAACAGCAACCAGACTAAAGTAATCTTTAAAAGGATGTCTCCATTGGATGCGACCATAAAAAAATTCATGACCAAACGTCACAACAGGCACCATATCAAACTTACCGAGAATTATGGATTTAGAGTATGTTCTCTTCAAAACCAAGGGGTTGGGCAACCCCAATCTTTGTAAACCAAATGTAAGTGCTGTTATGTAACGTGGATTGTACTATTTGGTAGGTTGCGTTGTGAATTCCAATTTATGAAACTTGGTCGGTCCCACGCAACTTCCAATGCTCGAGCGTATGTCTAGACACGCAGCCATGCTGTACCTCCAAAAAATTATTAGTACAGATATGTATTTCAGTTACAGTTCCTTCTCAGGTTCTCAAAAAGTTCCATGCATGCTTATAATACTTCTGAACACATCGGTGGCATACTATGTGCTATTTTAGCAACCTATATATTATAATATAAGAACATGTTAATCTCTCTAGAGTCACAGCGTCTCTTCGAGGTTATTTCTATGATATCATCTACGGTAAGTAGAAAAAGTGGTTGACGATTATCCATGTACTTAGCTATTTTGTTCGATAAGTTGCTCACTTGATGGGAAAATGTAGACAAAATGTCAACAATCACTGAGAAGGTCGACAGAGGTATATCGCTTCTTCTAAAGCTTACATTTTAGCTGTGATCATGCTTCAGTGTGCGGATTAGTGTATGTTAGTGCCTCGGTAAAAGCAAGGAAATCGCAACAGGAAAATCTCTACAAACATATCTGGAAAATGGAAATGTCGAGAGTGTACTGAAAAAACTCGTCAGGTGCTTGAAGTATATTTTCATTCAAAAGTAACTTGGTGTGATGTCTAATCTGCTTCAAAAGCAACAATGATAAAACTCCAAAAGATATAGTTAATAAAGGACAAGAGAAAAACTATGCCAGCATTTTGTAACTTTTAAAATTTCGTAAACCGACAACTTACAAGTTCTTATATAACTCCCAAGCCATCAACGCTCAACTACTTACTCCTGTATAGTCAGACTAGGCACTGTCATACATCAGTTCGAAAACAACATTTTACGTTTAGATAGGGATAATCCAGCCAACTATCAGAAGAAAGAGAAAGAGTGAGAGTAAACAGACTTATCTGACACCGGTTCCTACTTGGAATGTATCTATCAGATATTCTCCATCCATAATTTTGCAGTATAGTCGGTCGTACGAATTCCGGATTATGTTAATGATCTTCTCAGCTGCTCACTTTATGGTTTTGAAGAAGGTTCAATAAGGTTCACCTATCCACATAGTGGAACGCCTCATAATCACGGAAGTGGATGTATAGTGTCGAGTTCTATTCAATTGATTGTTCAACAATGATTCGTAGTGTGGCGACCGATCCTTACGACATCCGACCTGTTGATTTGAGGCGGGACGTCTACTAAATGTTTCATCCGGTTCAATAACACTTGAAAATCTTTCCTGGTACCGATAGTAGTGTGGTGGCTCTGTAGTTGTTCCATATTTCCGCTTGCAAGTTTTTCCACTGTCGTTGCTAGGTCTTCCACACTTCTTTTCTGCTTGTCAGCTCTAATGCTCCTCTTCACTTGCTTGTTTGCTTTTGTGTATTCAGCTTGTGCCTTGACATTCTCTATTCTTGTTCGTCTATTGTTGTTTTCATAGAGATTCACTCCTTATAATGATACACGTTGCTGTCCAGAACCTCCTGACACGTTGAATTTAATGCTTCTTTGGTCCCTTTCAAGTTGTCCTCCATAACAGTTTCTTCTTTCAGTAGATCTAAGACTTGGAACCTGTTGTTGAGAGTTATCTTTGATTGTTTGAGTTTGTCACTGTGTCGAAGGAAGGGTGTATTGAACCTTTGTAATGCTGTTTGTCTAGTTGTCTAATGCTTCTTCAGCTTCAGTTTCATCTTGGCAACCACCAGTTGATGGTGACCTGCAGCTATATCAGATCCCCTCCTGGTTCTCACGTCCTCCTTTGACCGTCTTTATCGTCTTCATTGCTATCATTGGTGGGTGTATAACATTTGATAACATTCATTGTGATTCCCTCATTTTTGGTTTTGAAAGATGCTTTGACGATTCTGGGTCCATGAGATTCCCATCCAATGAGTACTTTTCGTGCTTCTTCGGACAGCATCAAAGCAACTCACTGAGTGTGTGGAACACTTTCTTCGTGACCAGACAGCACCAGTACAGCAGCATCTCTCCCTAATCTATCTTTTTCTGTCCAGTTTGGTCCAATGTGTTCTAAATATTCTGGGAACCACCGGGTAGTTTGTTCATTTCGGCAGCTGTTTGATTGGTCCTCCCGGTCTCCTACATTGTCTAAACATTCTATGTACCCATATTAATTGTTGCTCTGGTTGTTAGGAGACATCGGCCTTGTGGCTTTCGAGGAATATTAGCTTTCAAAATGAGGCGTCATAATTCTTCCTTCAACTTGTAGGGCAGAGTTTCATTGTTTTAATTTGTTTATTTTGGTTAGCGTGTTTTAGCAAGGTTATTTTCTATGGTATGGGGATGCTGACTCCACACCCAGCCCTCCTCCTTTACCCGGGCTTAAGACCGGGTAACAGGAGTAAGTAATTGGTGAAAAGCCGTTATCAGTTAAGCTAATTTGTCTCGGGTGTGAGGCAGTTACCCACCGAAGACAATTTAAGATAGTCGCTCAATGTCGTAGACTGACAGATGTTAAACATTAACATCGTTGGAAGCTAGCTCAGTGGTCTAGAGGTCAAGCGTTCGCTCGCTAAACCGAATGTCCCGGACTCGATTTACGCGGGCGGGGCTGTGGTTGCACTCTGCTTAAGGAGCTTCTAAAACTCAAAGCCGTCCAGTGTTTTCAGGTTTTCGATGGTTGTTAAACTTAGGGTTGTTCACGATTTCAATGAAATTGAATAATCTCCACAATCTCATTCTAAAATTTTTATTAGTGTTGTTATGATATCTCCGCCTCGATAGTTGGAGCATTTTCGTTTCATCAACTTTCCGGACGGTGAAACATTTTCCGGCATTACGATCATATGTAAAAACTAGAAAAGTAATCAATCTATGACAGTGGTATGGAATATCAAACGACCTGGTCTGGGCACCCGGGCAGTATCACAGCCCTCACACAAATCGAATGATTTATGTGGCGCATATCTATTTGGTGGTCCATCATGACCCCTTTTGCAGGGTGTTAAAGATTGTGCAATTTACCAGTCATCGTTCAAAATCAAAGTTGGCGGTAATCCCTAGATTAGGTTTTTGTTATATCTCGTGAATGAGAACACGGACGATCTTTATCAAACAAAATCTACCTCTATTGTTTTCTTTTGCATTTTTCGTCAATTTTATTATAATTTACTATTTAGATGCCAGATGAATCAATGAAACCGGGCAATCCAGATCCATTCGTAGGTGATTATGATAACAGTGATCAGGCAGATATTCTGCGTATCCTTCTACCTGGTTAGTCTTTGAATATAAAATCTTCATTATTTTTTCCTGAATTAGTATTTCTTGATTGTTATGTTGATCCTTCATTTCTGTAAACTAGATTAAATTGACAAACGTCCACTTTCATCTCTCCTTTTTCGTAAACATCACCACATAAAAGCAGTGGGTAGAATTTCTCTAGAAGAGGCTATAAACCCTCAGCCACACGATAACTTTGGGAGGGAGAGAGAGAGAGAAAATTGGATTTGTACCGAAGATCGTACCAGGGTACTTGGGGTCAAGAACCAGATAAAAAATCTTTAAATCCAGTGTTTGTTTTATTCAACTTTTGTAACTCATTTCCATGCACAGATTCTTGTACTTTGTCTCTAAGACACTTTTACTACGACACTCAGTAATACCAACCATCTAAAACTTGATATATCAACAGTTAAAACCCTAAGTATCTTAATCACTTAGTTACTGTGCCAACCTAAAAAGAACAATAACAACAACAACAACAACAACAACAACAACAACTTACCAATACTCCACAGTAGAAACAAATAACAATTCTATCTATCTATTTTCCGATTGTCTAATTGATGTTAGGCCATTGTCAAATCATTTTGTATAATTAATTTATAAAATAGTGTACAAACATTAGAGATTATTAAAATCCAACATGATGTATAATAAATATTGATATTTTATGTTTATACCCTATTTCTATTTAGTTACTATGTATTGTAACGTGTCGACTGCAGATTAGATGCGCAACGTATTTAACGGTCGGATCAATGACACGTAAAACACGCACGAACGACCTAAAGTCCCGATTGGCCCTGTTTCGCTGTCTAGCCCAACCAGTTGAGTCCAGAACGCAAGTCTTAGCCTCTGAGACATGAATCGTTTATATACCAAAAGCAAACAAACCACACCATAAAAATAGAAAACAACATTTGTACAATATTTAACAAGTGAAATAAATATTGACCAATAGGGAATGTCCATTTAAAGTCCAAGGGGGCACTATTAGACTTAACATGAGATAATGATTGGTGTATTTTTTTCCGAGTATCCCAACACTATGTAATCTATTGACTATTTAATGTCCATTACATATTAATTTGTGTAAATAGTTTCGAATTATATATTATTGTTCATTATTCAATATTAATAATCATTATGAATTAATGATTTAATTATAATATAAGGAGTATAAAAATTGTAATTAATTTTATATATAACATAATGGGCAAAAAAAACTGAACTTCCCAATTTGATTTCTATTAAATATTGAATATGTATCATGATGCACAACGCTGACTAGTTTTGGAGATGGTTGGAAGAAAGTTAGGGGTGGCCAAACCGAAATGTGGAATTAGTGCTTGAAGTCACTCACTTCTAGTTTAAGCCATGTTGGTAGATACAGACTACTTGGTTGGGGTCCGCGTGACTATCGTAATCAATGGTTTGAGACTATGGGTGACATGGTTTGGAATTGATCACAATGGCGTAGATGTATACACTTTGTCTTCCTTTAAACTATGAGATTAAAATCGATTCATATATTTCTGTCTACAAACTAACTCTTTCTTCCTGTACTATATTCTTATACACAATCTTTCTTTTATATATTACACCATTGAGTTAACTACTTCTATGAATTCGGTGTTCATTTTGTTGTGCTAATACGGTATGGCAACTTGGACCGGTGCATATATATGCCTGGTCTTACGTTGTAGCTAACTGACCAGACACATCTCTTTCAGTATTGAAAAAAGGATATATAATAGCTACAATTTATTGTGTTAGAAACAACTTATGGAAGAATGAAACTACGTTAGCACAACTTTTGTATTGGTTTAATGTTTAACTACTTATTTTCTAACTTATGTTTCATACTCTTCAATAGTGAAGTCATGACATAAAGTAGGCCTAAGATAGAGATATTATTTCATGACTGAAGTGTGATTTATGCACCGTTTTGGTTGATGAGATTTTATACGATCTCATTTTACGAATTAAGTTAGTTTTCCTACTTCATTGTAATTTGTGTCTTCTTTCTATAACGCTAGATCGTGAAAATATTCGCCGAGTGCGTAGTGTGGACTTGACCTCAGAGATGCCAGATAAATCAAGAAAATTAACGAAATCAGGTAAGAGATCTCTTTATTCTTACAATTTGTTAAGATTAGATAGTAATTCATGCTGGTTTTTACTAATGTACCCATTTGGTCCCATTTGAGAGCATTGTTTTTTTTCCAAGGTATTTCAAAGTAATAATGACGTGATAACGATACTCTAAGCTCAACCAAAAATGGTTATTTTTTGTTAGATATACGCTAGATAAACTGTTTTTTTGGATGTTTCAGCATGTGACAAAATGAAGTTTTCACCTTCGGCAATTCCTAGTTATAAGCACTCGAGATTCTTTTCATGTACATGGAATCCAATGAGAACTCGATAGATCGAGTGACTAATACAACACTTCGGTAATAATCTTCAATATGATGGAAGACAGGAGAAAGTGATAAGGTCAGGAAAACTTAGAGGAACAAGCTTGAACTAGAATAACTCTCGATATTTATTTGCAAGACGTGACCTTATGACAAGTAAAACTAGTAAACTAGAAGTCAGCAACCCATCAAATAACAACGAAGATCATCAGGAAATCATATGGTTTATTTCGGTTGTGTCGTGTGATTTCATGGATTCTGTATCTGTTTCTCGTTTTGTTTATTACCATTTTAGACAGTTCCAAATGTGAAATTGTAGATGTTCTTCTAGAAGATGCCACAATCACATCAACACGTGATAATCATCCTGTGTCAGTACTACGTGATGTAATCATGTCTTGTTCTTAAATTCTAATCAAGACAAAGAAGTCATGCTCTAAGTTTTGGAAATCAATCTGCTTATTACATTTTGTTTTTGTTCTCTCTTCGTATAACATGAATTGCTTATCTTTTTGATTTGGAAACTTACTCATTTCATGACATTGACATGAACACAGTTGATTTTGATTACTGAACTATTGTAATCAATCATGAATTGCATTTCTACTGGCGATAATAATACTAATAATAATGATTGATTTCTTGAATACATTATTGGATTGATCATTTATTGTTTGTCGTTTATATTCGTATAATAATAATAATCATATATTCATTAGTAACATTATTATTGTTGTTTTTCTCGATTATACTACTTATATTGTTATAATAGTAGACATACATACCTACATATGAACATTTGCATTTCTAATCATTATTATTATTATTATTATCATTTCTTTAATGGTATTTTTTAATAATCATTCATATATACACCTAATCATGGTAGTAAACAACGACGACGATGATGATGATTGTATGTTTTATTAATAAAGCATAAATAAGAATTCAATTCATAATTGTGTAATAATTAACATTCAATATAACATTATTCATAGTATAATTATGTAGAATTTTCATTTCGTAGTTATTCGAATTTCTATCATTAACATTCATTGGTGAAAGTTGTATCGAATATATGTATATATATATAATATACAACCACATATTTACGTAATTCATCGCATAGAAACATTTACTTCAATGGTGTGGTATGAAGTTGTCTTCATTTTACATTCCTATATTATGACAATTCGCTCAACAACAATAACTTCGCCTGTAGCTCTTCTAGAGTTACTGCCGGTTCCAAGCTCAAGTAAAGGAGGAGGGTTGGGCAAGGGATTAGCCACCCCATCCCGTAGAAAACTAGCTCGTTAAAAAAACGCTTACCAGGAGAAATAATTCAAACCACTTAACCTCTACCCTGGGAGTTAGAAGGTCTTCATTTAGAAGAAGTATGACGCCTCATGGTGAAAGCCGAATTCCTTCGGAAGCCACGAGGCCGATGCCCCTCCTAACAACCAGGGCAACAATTTTTATAGGTACATGGAACGTACGAACAATCTGGGAGACCGGAAAGACCAGTCAAATAGCAACGGAAATGAGGAGATACAACTTGGCAGTACTGGGAATCAGCGAAACCCATCGGACCTATGCTGGACAACAAAGGCTAAATACGGGAGAGATGCTACTATACTCCGGTCATGAAGAGGAAAATGCTCCACACACTCAGGGAGTTGCTCTAATGCTGTCCAAAGTAGCAAGAAATGCACTTGTAGGATGGAAATCTCACGGATCCACAATCATCAAAGCATCATTCAAGACAAAGAAGGAGGGGATCACAATGAATATTATCCAATGTTACGTACCCACCAATAATAGCAACGACGACATTAAAGATCGATTCTATGAGAGGCTACAATCAATCATCGAGAAGTGCCCAACAAAGGACCTCACCATTCTGATGGGAGATCTAAATGCCAAGGTCGGAATAGACAACACCGGATATGAAGATATTATGGGACGACATGGACTGGGAGAAAGAAACGAAAATGGAGAAAGATTTGCAAACCTATGTGCATTCAACAAATTGGTCATAGGAGGCACAATATTTCCACACAAGCGTATACACAAGGCTACATGGATCTCACCGGACCACACTACAGAGAACCAAATAGATCGTATTTGCATCAACAAAAAATTCCGAAGGACAATGGAAGATGTGAGAAGCAGGAGAGGAGCTGACATAGCTTCAGATCACCACCTTGTGGCCAATTTAAAACTAAAGCTAAAGAAGAACTGGACAAACAGCACTACAAAGGTTCAATACAGCCTGCCTTCGAGATACTGACAAACTCAATGAATTCAAGATAGCTCTCAACAACAGGTTCCAAGCCTTACAAGATCTACTGAAAGAAGAAGAAACTAGTGTGGAGGACAACTGGAAAGGCATCAAGGAAGCATTAACTTCAACGTGTCAAGAGGTTCTGGGTCTAAAGAAATACCATCATAAGGAAACACTGGACAAGATCAAAGAAAGGAAGAACAAGAAGATAGCAATAAACAACAGCCGAACACGAGCAGAGAAAGTCCAAGCACAAGCTGAATACACAGAAGCAAACAAGCAAGTGAAGAGGAGCATTAGAACCGACAAGAAGAAATACGTGGAAGAACTGGCAACGACAGCGGAAAAAACTGCAAGAGAAGGAAATATGAAACAGCTTTACGATACAACGAAGAAACTAGCAGGGAAATATAGTAAACCAGAGAGACTTATCAAGGACAAAGAAGGCAGGTCAGTCACTGAAATTCAAGAACAGAGGAACAGATAGGTAGAGTACTTCGAGGAACTCCTGAATAGGCCGGCTCCAATGAATCACCGGACATCGGAGCAGCACACACAGATCTCCCTATAGATGTCGATGCACCAACGACGGAAGAAATCAAAATGGCCATCAGACAAATGAAGAGCGGTAAAGCAGCAAGACCAGACAACATACCAGCTGAAGCACTGTGGTCAGGCATCGAAGTAACTACAAACATGCTTTGCCTTCTGATTTGGGAAGAGGAACAAGTGCCGATGGACTGGAAAGAAGGACACTTCATCAGGATTCCAAAGAAAGATCTGAGCAAATGTGAAAACTATGGAGGCTTTACACTACTTTCAATACCAGGGAAAGTCTTTCACAGAATGAAAGTTCACTTTTGTCTGTTAGTTCGCAGGTAAATTTATCAATGTGATCAGTAATTGCAAATAATCGAAATTTTAGCTATTAGATAACTTGGGCGAGACTAATTTATGGGAAAACCAATCAGGTATAAGATACCAGGTCTTTTGGGATTATAGATGATGTCAGTTTTTGATGAGAACCCTAAATCCAATCCCTAACCTCAACCATCAACTGCAAGCCGTAATTCTGATTCCCCACACTGGTTTATAAACCTCATTTGGTCCTAGTTACTAGGCAGGCACTCAAGTGTCGCTCAGAGGTCGTCCATAAATTATTGACTCATTGAAGATTCTTCGTCAACGAGATAAGCGTATAGAATACAGTAAGTCTCACCGTAACTTGTACTTATTCTTCGAGTAATGACTTTCCGAGTCTCTACGTTTTGTTAGTTGATATCGACAGTGAATAAGTCAAAATCACGATTTCCACGTTTCGAAATCTTACGAAGATATCCTTACTCGTATCATAAAACTAAATAATTGGTCCAACTGTGGTTCGCACGTTACTCATTATCCATTCATGAGTCAAACTTTGGGAATTATCATTAAACAAATTACGTATAACGAAAATAGGATACATGGTGCGGCTAAGAATCATCAATCGATTGAAATAACCGACCATAGATCAGTTCACTACAAAAGATTGTTAAATACACTAAGATACAATCCATACTTATGATTTAGTAGTTCAAATACACAAAAGGAAAAACAAAATTCTCCGACACAACACAGCATTTCACAATCGAATCACACTTGATGGAGTAGATTTGGAAGATGTAAAAACCTTTACACATCTGAGCAGCATCATTGATGGACACGGAGGATCTGATGAAGACGTGAAGGCGCGGATCGGCAAAGCAAGAGCAGCATATTTACAACCGAAGAACATCTGGAACTCAAAACAGCTGTCAACTAACACAAAGGCCAGGATTTTTAATACAAATGTCAACACAGTTCTACTGTATGGAGCGGAAACCTGGAGAACTACGAAAGCCATCATGCAGAATATACAGGTGTTTATTAACAGCTGTCTACATAAAATACTTTGGATCCGTTGGTCAGACACTATTAGCAACAACCTACTAGAAGTTAGTGACTTCAAGCACTGATGCCATTGTTTTGGTTTGGCCGCCCCTTACTTTCTTCCAACCATCCCGAACACCGGTTAGCATTGTACGTCGTGGTAATCGGTGTTCAGGCATACAAAGCACGTGGCCCAACCATCTCAGTCGATGAAGATTCACAACCTCATCAACTGATTTACCACGCCAGCAATATTTCTAAGACATCTGTGATCAAATACTAATAGCTTACAAGTATCTTCAACTCTTAGTGGCCATGTTTCGCTGCCGTAGATTAAAACAGAACGGACTGCCGCGAAGTATACTCGTCCTTTTATTGATAGACGGATATGTCACCTTCACCATAGGTGACGTAAGTGGGTAAAAACCAAGCGAGCTTTTCGAATTCGTGCTGAGATTTCGTCAGACACCAACCCATTAGGGCTGATCAGACTTCCAAGATAAGTGAAGTTGTCAACGCGTTCAGATATTGAAGCAGATCAATCCTAAAACTACAACTAAAATCTATAATATTACAAACAATACAATGATCAATTTACATAGTGATTATTTACTCTTTTTTCAATTTATTCATTCACAACACATAAATGCACAACGAAATAAAGCGGTGAAATTTTGAAAATAAAATATACAAATTAAAATAATATAAACAAAAAGAAAACATAAACAAAAAAGTAAAATAAAACTTTTTATATATGGAAAATAAATCGATTCGAATACACATTGGATTCATTTGCATTGTTGAACAAAGTGTTACTCTCTCTCTCTACACACACACACACACATGAACAAACAAACAAACAAACTCATTGAATCTAATAATGATAAGCAACAATATCTTGTTGTAATGGATTTGGTGCAGGTAATGCTACTACTAATGGTTCTTGATTTTCTACAATATTGTCACCATCATCATCATCGTCAACAACTTCATCAATAATCATTTCAGGGAATTGATTACCTAATATTTCTGCATTCATATCTGGTATTGAATCAATAATTGTACAATATGGATATAAATATCTTAATTTAATTAAATGAATTGAATGAATTTCTGAACAAAATGATACATCTAATAATTTCAATTTATCACATTGATTAAGCATAGAAACAATAGCAGATATTGTAATATTTGTTGAACCATGTATATCTAATTGTTCTAAAGTTTCATTTAAATATTGACTCACCAACAGAAGTTCTTCTGAATTGAGAAGGCTAAAAGAGGATAAGAATAAGAAATTATGAAATAATATAAGGTCAGATTGAACAGATTCTAAAAAAACTAGAACCATAGACTGAAAATGCTATTTTCAATGATTGGGGTTCATTATTGTAGCTTCCTAAACAACTTGATTGGATTACTGATAACTTTGATGGTGTGACAGCGTTACGTAATTCGTATCTACTTTTTATTGATTGTTTTGTTTTGAACGATATACCACATAATGCTGACAATATATCCATGGTGGTCTAGCTTCAACTGACTCATGATTTCAATCTGTGAAAATTTCTAAAAATCTCCACAAACCCCTTCTGATAGTAATCATCTGCTCACTAGTGACTGACTTCAAGAGATACTCTTGGAGTTCTAGTAGGAAGCCGTTACCAGTGGAGTTCAACCAGGTCTGTTGTGAGATATCAGCTCACTGATGACAATGGTATACGGTGGCGCAATTTCGTGGATTGGTTGAAGTCAGACATTAACACCGTTGGATGCCGGCTCAGTGCTCGCGCGCGAAGCCAGTAGGTCCTGGGT